CAAAGTGCTGGTGTTAATCAGGATAAAAACTGCAGTAAGCTTCTGTATGGGTCAGTTAATATTGGCTAATTGGAAATCACATATACAAAAATGCTATCGCATTTTTAGGATCATATGCCTGTTGTGAAAAATTCAGCAAACAAATGCAGTTATGGCAGTACTACAAGGCAGGACAGCAGTGGCAGAAACTACAGGCCTGAGTGGAAACTGTTTAAGAAAGCAAGCACCCAAGAAATGTGTATGAATTCACTGCCTCAGCCTCTGATTTTCATATCACACCTCCATAGTTTTATATTCTTGAAATCATTTGTGTTTATGCAAAATAAATGTAAAAGACTATCTAACTCAGAAGTGGAAATGAGCACTTGAGCTACACAGCAGTGTGGAATCAGGTCTCTGACTATGTAGTTTGAAAATACATGGCACACACAGACAATAGCAGTCTAAACAATGTTACTGTCTTCCCTTTGTGATATTCTAAAGCTGATTCACTCCAGCAGCTGCATCAGCACAAGTCAGGGTGGCGCTGAGGACAAAGAGATGGGAAGAGGTGACAGTCCTCATAAGGAAAGGATGGGAACTGCTTCAGCCAGTATAGCTACATTTTGGCAAATCTTGGTCTGGTTACTTGCAGTATTAGATTAAAATCAGGTAGTTGATTTACTGTCACTTAGAATCATAGAATGGTTCGGGTTGGAAGGGACCTTAAAGATCATCTAGTTGCAAACCCTCTGCCATGGGCAGGGACACCTGCCAATAGACCAGGTTGCTCAAGGCGCCATTCAGCCTGGTCTTGCACACCTCCAGGGAAGGAGGATCCACAGCTTCTCTGGGCAACCTGTTTCAGTGTCTCACCACCCTCACAGTAAAGAATTTCTTCCTAATATCTAAGAAATTCTCACCATTTGCCTTCTGTCCCACTATTCTGATGGTCACTTATGTCCTCAAAGCAAGAGTACCCGATCCTGTGAGTCAGCTTCTGAACTGCATTCATATATACAAAATGGGTGCTGCTGACAGAAACTGCTGTTTGGGAGGAGAAAAGGAGATAGGAAAGTACAAAACAGCTAAGTCAGAAGGGGAAGAGAAGCTTTTCCTGTCATTGTCAGATCCATTTTAGGAAGTTGTTGCTTTCCCCATCTTTTGTTGCTACCCAAACAGTTAACACATCTGATCTTTGCTTCCTTATTTTCTAGTGATAACCATAAAAATTTGGGCTTTAGTCATTGATGAAAAATGTCACTGTATGAAAAATCTATGAAAGTTACAACAACATGTTAGAAAACAGGTATCTTTATATTTAAAATCACATAGTAAAACACAGTAAGCAATGTAAGATAAACTGAAACAATATACCTGTAACATCTTAGCCGATTCATTCAAGAAATCCTCCACGCTCTGATTTTCAGGGTTAAATTTGTTAAGCTGTTGCACTATTATTGCAATATGTTTTCCATGGCTGGCCATCTTCACCATGGAGAATCCTATAAATACAGTAAATCATTAATTTTTCATACCTCCTTCAGTTGTAGCATAATGTATGTTGATAGGCTCATAGAGAAGATATACTGCAGTAATGTAGAAAAGAACATTTAGGTCAAGCTTTCAAAATCACAGTTACTCAGAACAGCTAACAGGAGAAATGAGAATGCAGTACAAACATCAATAAAATAGAAGACATAATTACATATTTCTTATTCTGAAATGTCTCAAAAGATCCTTAGGATGATACCCGAAATGGTTTCTGTATCAGGTTATTTGATGAAATATAATTAGAGATAATACTAGAGAAAAGCATGATTTTTTGCATGTGTGCTATACAGGTCCTATTTAATACATTGCTCTTCCCACTGAGATGCAACCGAAAGCAAAATTTTAGTCTTAAATCTTATCACATGTTGCTACTAACAGCCTATTCTTCCAAAATGAAAAAAAAAAAGAGTAGGAGCAGCGAGGAATTCTAAGGAAGCAACGAGACAGTGTTGGTCAGCAAGCTGGGTAGCGATCACCACACATCAGTAGTCTAGGCCATCGCCAAGGCTTTTGAAGGCACAGCAGTTGGATACTTTTTTATGCTTGATGCTTTGTTTGTGAAATGACTAGATTATGTCTATCTCAAATGATGTCTTACTCATATGCACGAGAGTTTGCAGAACTGGCTACCTCAATTTTAATATTCACATGATAAAAAATAGAATTTTTTTTTTTTACACTTGCAGATGCTGTTGTGCGTGAAAGACCAATGATAGCAATGATCAAGGGTGAAAGTCTTTAATCTCTTTTAGCAATGGAAAAAATGAGCACAGGAGCCATTTTTCACGGTGAAAATAAAAATATATTTTGAAAATCATTCCTGTATTTTATATATCATCATATCCTGATGTTAGAAAAGAATGCTTGATCAAGATGACTCATTCCCAGTGTGGTAAAGTTAATTCATTTCCTGTTTTAAAAGGGTATCCATAACATTTCCAGATACAGTGTTTTTGTACCCTGTCTTTCAGCATTTTCATACTCAATAATTACCTAAACAGCACTTTTAATTACTAACTTCAAACTGCTGGAAAAATAATTTGTCTGTGATCATGCTCAATATAGGCATTTAGTTACCTGGTATGACCAAGACAAAACTGAAAAAAAAAGTCTTGCAAAACAGGGCTGGGTCATGACAAGGGATGGCAAATAAAAAAAGAGGTGCTACTGTGTCTCTTTGTTGCAGAAGGAATCACCATTTCTCCACTCCTCTGAGAAACATGATCTGTTTCTCTGTACCTGCCAAGGTTCTTACACTCACAAGGGATTTTGGATAAGGGAGAGAGAAATACTTCACTACTTATTCTCATTCGGGCTGAATCATAATTCAGGCTCCAGCAGCTCTCCCAGTGACAAATAGCTCGTCTTCTGGCATAGTAGAAATGAGTTCGAGCTCTCATGCTCTGTACATGCTGATATTCACCTCTCCCCACCAAATAACAATCATTAAAACCAGAAACTGGAATATGAAAACTAAGACATACAGCAACGCCTTGAGAACTCTGGAAATGCAGGGTTTCCTAACAGAAAAACCTCACTTGTGATTGTATTTAAACAAACCGCTATTATTATCGTGATGTAAAACATATGTACCAGGAATAAAATGCTTTGTGTTGTGACATGCAGCCCTAGTTCCACACAACCATTTAGGAGAATATTCTAATTGCTATGTATAGAAATGATATTCACTGTGTACAAAATGGTAGGAATTTGCTTCCATTAACAGATGTAGAACTTCAGTTAAAGGAGCTAAGAACCTAACTTAACCTTATTTTGCAATGGAGCTTGGAGATATTTTGAAAGCAGTTACATAGGACAAGGCTGGCCACAACTGTGGGGCCTAATTTGAATGACCTGAAATATTCCTTCAGGTTTTACACTGGCGCCTGTGTTCCTGGCCTAGAAACACTGCAATTGCATTTCCTCTGGTAAAAGCCGTTCTTCTTAAAGAGAGAGCTGAAATAAGCCTCCCTGCAAAATTCAGTCAGGTCAAGTTAGATACTGCTCAAAATGAAATAGGTGTTTCTCTCAGCTGTGTGCTAGGAAAAGAGCCACGGAATACAGGTTACAATTGTCCCAACGGTTACATCCTGCCATTCTCATTTACTGTGGACTTTTCTACATCGCCGACCATCACCTGAGCACAGCAGAGAGCAGTTCTGGGCACAGGTTCTCTTTGCAGCAGATTCCTCCCTTAAGGCAGCAAAACATCAGCTGGAAAACAGTCACGCTGAGCAGCCGTGGCCTGGATCTTAGGTTCATTTTTAATTTGCAAGTATTTCAATGTTTTGCGTACCTACTACAAATATTTTCTGTGACTCAGGTGTTTTGTTTTGGGATGTTTGTGGAAATATCTGGTGGAAGTTTACAATTAAATATCCCCTGTACAACACCTTCTGGAAGTAAGTTGCACTATAATTACCAGATAGGTAAGCCAAAGGACACCAAGGCTGGCTACTTGCCCCCAAAAATCACAACAGTTAATGAAAACTCTGGGAGCAAAGCCCCGACAATCCTGTCTACAGTATAACATAGGACCCACTGATCTTCTCTATTTGTAGAGACCTAATAAACGAGTGAAGTAGTTATAAGCCTGCACCAGGGTGTTCCTAGGTGCCACGCTTATCAAGCGTTTTACCCATTTTTGTTTTCCAAGGTGCCACACACGGCTGCAGCCCCCTTTGCCGCTCTCTGAGGCCGCCGAGCCCCAGGGCACGCGCCGCCGCCTGAGGTAACGGCGCGAGCGCGCAGCCCCCACGGGCGGCCCCTCAGCCCGGCCGCTGCCCAGTCCCGTACCTGGCTCCCCGCCGGAGCCCGCTGCCCCTCTCTCAGCTCGGTGGGACCCTCCAGCCGCAAAGACCCCGCTGCGCCCACCGACCCGCTCCTGCCCGGCCCGGCGCCGTTGCTAAGGGACGCGGGGGCTGCTGGGACTTGTAGTTCTCGCGCGCACTGGCCGTCGTGTTGCAGAACGGCCCGATCTGGGGCAAAGAACTACCCGGCCGGGAAAAACGAAGATGGCAGCGATTGTTTGCCGCGGTTGTCAAGCAACCCGTTCCGCCCCCTCCCTGTTCTTTGCTCTCAGGGGCGGCTAGAAGTCAATTAGCCGATTACCGGGCACTCGGGTGGGGCTGAATGTCACAAGCAGGGGCTCGCTGTCCCGAAGCGGAGACGCTCAAGGCTTGTTTATGGAGAAGAACTACCTGTCCCGGCATCCATCGGGACACAGCGCTTCGCCTGGCTGCCCGGCGACTGCGGGGCGTGGCATGACGGGGCGCGTAGTCCCTCCGCCCCCTCCGCGTCTTACGCAAATGAGCAGCAGAGTGGGTGGGGCGAGTCCGCCGCGGGGAGGCGGGAGGACCGTCCCCGGGCGCTTTCCGATTGGCTGCGGCAGGCAGCGGGGCGGGAGAAGGTGGGCCTGCCCCTGCGCATGCGCCTGGTGGCACGGAGCGAGCGCCAGGGGGGGACACGCCGTTACCGGCCGCGCGATGTTTTGGGGTCTGTCAGCGCGGCGCGGCGCCCGGTCCTTGCGCTGAGGGCAGCGCGCGCTCCGCAGCCGCCGGCGGCCTCTGTCCTCAGGAGGCGGCTCAGAGGAGGAGGAGGAGTAAGAGCGGCGGCGGCGACCCTGCGGAGCCTCCCGGCGAGGGGCAGGGCTTGCCCCGGTCCCCCGAGCGGCGCGGGCGGGCGGGCAGCCGGTAGCCCCCCTGGCAGCGGCAGGCGGCGGTGGGGTGGCGGCGGCGGCGGTGATGATGAACAGGTTCCGAAAGTGGCTCTACAAACCCAAGGTAAGTTGTGAGGAGCCGCC